CCTTAGCCGCAACTTCGCCTACGACCCCGCCATCGGCCCCGACGCCGACCCCAGCTTCGACGCTACCCTCAGCCTCGACGCCGCCCCCCACCCCGCTTTGGACGTCGTCCTCGGCCCCTGTAACTGCCTTAGCCGCAACTTCGCCTACGACCCCGCCATCGGCCTCGACGCCGACCCCAGCTTCGAGGCTACCCTCAGCCTCGACGCCCTCACCGACCCCGATTTGGACATCTTCTTCGGCCCCTTTAACTGCTCGAAGACCCCAGGGTGGAGTTACTGGAGGACGTGTGGCCATTGCGTCGCTGTGTGACGCCGCGCCAAACCCCTCCCCCACCCCCCACCTTGCTCCCGCGGGTAAACAGCAGACTCGTAGCGCCGCCGCCCGTCCGCTGGTCCTCCCCCCCGCGCTGCCCGCGCAGCCAGTGCTGCCAACCGGTCGGCTGCAACCTGAGCCCGCGGTGGTCGCCCGCGCTCACGGACTGGCGTCGGCTGCTTTCCCCGCCTCTGATCGGAGGAGCTTTCTAGGGGGTCCAAGTACTGTCACCCCCCGCGAGCCTGTCGAGACTCCTGCACGAAATCAGAGAAATCGAACCCTGGCCTGGCCACCAAATCGGGCAGATGAGAATGAGGATACACATTTCCTCAAGTCGGAGGACGAGTCGCTTCTTGTTGAAAAGGGAAATGTCGCTGCCAAAAGAAAAGCTCTTGACCACATTTTCCCCAGCATTGCGGATAAGATTAAACAGCAACTCTCTGGCAAGCCTGTCTTTCCCCCTCACACTCCCTCTCCCAATATGAAAACCCTGGTGTGTTCTAGTCTTGCCAGATTAAATCAAATCAAAGTGATATTGTCTTTTATATGGTTTCTAATGGTATGTTCTGTCTGGTGTTACAGGATTCCCAACAAGTTTTGAAACAGCTTGTTTCTGGCAATCGCAACAGTATTATTTCTGAACCACAATCAGAACTTATTTCTCTGCAGAGGTCAGGGAGTGGTGATCGCAGTAGTATCTTGGCCGATAGGCTTGGAAAATTGGAGAATGCCTCTCAGGTTAGTTAAACATTAGCAATGTTGTTTGTTTTAAAATATTATGACTACTCAAGCATAGACTCTTCAAACTGACCATCTCACGCTTTTATTCTCCCCTGTATCAGGATTGGCGTAAACGTGTTGGACAGAAGGATGCGGACCAGTTCTCTGTCAAGGGTAAAATGAAAATTTCCTCATCAACAACAGATGTGCCCAAGGCATTGGACACACCTCCTTTGACCCCAGACTCTACACCCATGACACCTCCGGAATTGACACCTGGACTGGAGAGAGGGAAAAAAATTCCTAAACCAAGGAGCTTCCGTAGCAAAACTGGTAGGAACACAACTGATACATTTGACACATTATCTATTATCTATCTTACTGATAAAGAACAGAATGATATTGAAATAATTGTAAACATTTTTTTTATTAATAATAGTGGTTTGTTGCATTTACATCTGATATTTTACAGGTATTTCAACCCATGTTTTCAAGCGTAGCATGTCTGCCCCTGGTGCTGATGAGGATGCAGGTAATTTAAAGGGGGTAAAAAATCAGGAGGTCAGAATCTGCTGTTGTTAGCTTGCTTAGTTATCATGTACTGCATGCTCTCCTCTATGCGGGTTGTCTGTTTACTCTGTGCCTTGAGAGCCGTGGTCAGGGATGGTAGGCAACAGTATTACTACTACAAAAGTGTATGGCAGTGGATTCTCGACTATCGACCTCTGATGTTAAAATATGTCAAGTAAGACCTCATCCAACATCCAACATTCTTGGTTTTAGATTCTTCTCCAAATGAACAAGAAACGTCAGAATCAATTGAATCTCCACCTGTCCAAACTGAGACTAAAATCCAAGGCCCTCGGATTGAGCTTCCTCGCATTGATGATCAGTTTGAAAGTTTCTTCAGCACTGCTGAAAATGTTAATGGCAGTTACCAGAGTTTGGAAATGAAGGATGTTGACCTTGATCTTGCCGTAACTCGTTCCAGTGAATTGTAAGCTTCCATGTTGTTAATATAAAAGTCAACAGTTTTAAAATTTTCTATCTATAAACCTGTTCTATGATGTTACAGGCTTGTTCAAAAACGGACTGTGAAGGTCTCTGGTCGTCGGGTTGCTTCACGCAATCCTGTAAAAGCACTCTCTGCTCGCACTGACCTTTGCTCTGACTATGTAGAACTACGCACTGGTGTTGCTGAAAGGGAAATGAAACGTCTTCGGGCAGAGAAATGTAAGTCACCATTAATTTTAATCTTGATGAATATTTAAGGCTGAGACTAAAAACAATTTATTTCTTTTCAGTGGCAAAAAATTCCTCTTTAGCTGTAGAAGCACTGGCAGGTCTTGCTAGTAAAGAAGACTTTTCTGCTGTTTCTTTACGGAAATCTGCTTCAACAAGTGCCATGCCAAATAGTAGCACTCTTCTTCCATTCAAAGAACTAATGTTGCTCCAAATCAAAGGAAGAAGGCACATTCAGACTCGTTTGGTTGAGCCAACTTCACATAGCATTAATAGTGGTGACAACTTTGTTCTTGTCACTCCAAGTCAGGTAAGCTTTGTTGCTTGTTGATAAAATGATTTCCTATGTATGCATTTGTTTAAATTTAAAACCCTTTTTTCAGGTGTTTAATTGGGTTGGAAAGTATTCAAATGTAATTGAACGTGCAAGAGGTGCAGAGGTGGCTCTTCATGTGCAGCAAAACAAAGATTTAGGTTTTAATGGTGTCGCTCCTGTAATAACAATAAGTGAAGAAAGGGCAACTTGTACTGCTAGCCAGGTGGCCACCTTCTGGAGGTTGCTTGGTTCTTTAGATGGCCCAAAAGGTAAATCTAATAACTTTGAGTTCTTGTTAATCTTTTTTTAGGATTACAGCATGTTACCTCTAAATATATTCATTTTGTAGCTCAAGATGCTGGACACCCTGATGAGGATGAAATATATGAAACAGCAGTTCTTGAAACAAATATGATCTATGAACTGAATGGTTCTGAACTTGTTCCATTTGAGAAGTACTGGGGTGCTGTACCACGTATTGAAATGTTAGACCCTTCAAAGGTAATGGCACTAGCGTTTACTTATTTTTAATTTGTTGAATGATAAACCCAAATTGTTTTTATTATAAATTCAAAATAATAATCTTACAAATGTATTCTTCTAGATTCTGGTATTTGATTTTGGCAGTGAAATGTATGTTTGGAATGGAAAAAATGCGCCACTTGAGATTAGAAAGGTTGCCCTGCAGCTTGCTAAAGAGCTGTGGGAACACGGTTTTGACTACACAGACTGTGATGTGTGCCCATTGCTTGGAGCCACTTCTCTTGGTCCTCAGTTTGGCCGTAAAGAGGATGCAGGTATCAAATCAGGAAAGAAAAGACCATTATGGGCTTTGATTGCTAAAGTGACCCAGAATATGGAAACTATATTGTTCCGTGAGAAGTTTCTTGATTGGCCTGATTTCACTAGGGTCATTCAAACAAAGGGAGACCCAAATAAAGACAAAATTGTTGATGCAAGTGTGGATGTAAGGCCATGCAGTGCGAAGGAAATGTTTGACTCTGTGCCTGATGACCCAGATTTGCTGTTGGAAGGGAGCCATTTGGGGCGGGGAAATGAATATTATGATGAAGAGACTAGGCGTTTTTATGAAATTCAGACAACTGGAGTCAAAGTCTGGCACATTGAAGAATATGATTATTGTGAGTTGCCTGAAAGCTCCTATGGTCAGTTTCACTCTGCAGACAACTATGTTATTCGCTGGGCCTATAGAGTAACTGTGACAACAAGAGCACTTAATGGTTTGCCTTCAAAACATGCTGCATCTCAGGGCCGAGATCGCTTCTGCTATTTCTGTTGGCAAGGTCGTAATGCTCTTGTTAATGATAAAGGAGCAGCGGCTTTGCTTACTGTTGAACTTGACAAAGAGCGGGGTCCTCAGATGTTTGTGCCACAAGGTTTAGAACCCCCTGCTTTTCTGGGATTATTTGAGGGAAAAATGAAAATTCATTCTGGAAGACGCTGTGAGAGAAACAGTTCCAAAGGTAAATACTAGTGAAAAAATTTGTTGAGTTTAACACTTTTATCTGTGTATTTGGTCATAATTATTCATTATATTTATTTTTTCTAGGACTGTATCGTCTGTATGCAGTGAAGGGTGAAGTTGAGAGGGAGGCTTGTCTTGTTGAAGTTACTCCTAGTATGCGCCAGCTCCGGAGTCGAGGATCATTCATCCTATTAAATGAAAAGAAAAAACTTTTGCATGTTTGGCATGGTGCTAGATCTCTTCCTCACAACAGAGAGGTAAATTATTATAAACTATTTTGAGTATAGTCATATTAAAATTAAGGTGCTTGGCATGCCAACTTTTGACTCTTGGTTTGCTGTTTTTAGGTTGCTGAGTCTGTTGCCCAAAGTATGCAGAAAGAGCTTCCAGAAGAATTGGGTCTGACATTGAATTCAGACCTAAGCTTGCAGTGTGAGGAAGAGGGGTCTGAAACTCAAGAATTCTTCAAAGGTGTCAGTGGAAGTAATCGCCATCTTTATGTTTCCTTAAAAAATGACACAAAGGAAAAGATGTCTCAGTACTCACCCCGTCTTTTCCATCTCACAAGTTTGTCGGGAACTTTCACAGCAACTGAAGTTCCTGCCCCTTGTCGAAACAGCAAACTTACAACTCCTTTCCCCTTCCAACAAAGTCATTTGTATGGAGCAAGCCAGCCAGGTTAGTTATTTGTTATTCTTCTCACACTTTCTCAGTACTTTTTAAAATTTTTATGTGATTCCATGGCTTTTCTCATTGTTGCAGCAATCTTTATTCTTGACAATGGTGATTCACTCTGGCTTTGGCAAGGGTGGTGGCCCAGCGAAAGAGATGAGGAGGATGGTAATGTGGTTGCTGGTGGAGATGGTTTGGGGTCCGGAGCAGTTCGTTGGCAGGCCGAGCGGCGAGCCGCAATGCAAACTGCTCTTGATTATTGGTCTATTCGTTATCCTGGGAAACAGCCGCAGGCCTCCCTTGTATGGGCTGGACTAGAACCCTTGGAATTTACAAACCTATTTTTAGAGTGGTCAGATCGAGATGACATTGCCGAAATCAATATGCAGGTCGGTATAGAAATTATGGGACAAACATTTACTGTTGAAATTGCATTATTCATTATCATGTAAATTTTTTTTCTACTTCATTGTAGGATGGTCATAAGGCAGGTGAACTGTTATCCGTTGAAGAGGAACTGGCAAGACTTACTCAGTCCACCTACCCAGCTGCTCAACTACTACAGAGACCACTGCCTGATGGTGTTGACCCTACCAGACTAGAACTATACCTTGCCCCGCAACATTTTCAGGTTTGTCATTTGATTTTAATACATGGATTTCTTTAAGCTGTAGATTAATGTTGTCTTTTCTTCGATTGCCTTTATTTAGGAATTGCTTGGAATGTCGAAGGAAGAATTTCTGGATTTGCCTCAATGGAAACAAACAAAAGTGAAGAAAGATGTTGGATTGTTTTAAAGAGGTATTGTAACTTATCCCATAACAGAACTATTTCTTATTCATATTTTGAAAACACAAGAATTATTGAACAGAAAAAACAACAACTAATGGCTGTCTTTCTGATCTAGAAATTCAGTACATGTTGGTTATCAGAATTGGTTATCAATGTTGTAAAAAGAATAATAATCAAGGTTATTTCTGAATGTTAATTTACATTGCTGCTACTGTTCTCAGAGGCATTGTTTTTGTTTTTATTATTTTTGTTATGGGGTTCAAAATATTGACCACTAGTCTACAATCAAGCCCAAGAGCTTGAGGGTCCCAATATACATATTGCTGTACTTGCAAATTACTTAATTACTAACCTATGTACCAATAAATTGTCAATTTTTTCCTACCTTTGAAAAGGATGTGATGTGATTTGTAGATTAGATTAGTTATAGATGTCTGTTTTCTGACAGTATTTATTTCATATTTCATATACCCTGCTGTATGTCAAAAAATAGTGATAGTATTTTGTCACCTTTAAAGCAGCTCTTTGTAAGACTTTTGAGAAATGTAACACTTAATTTTACCTGCCTGCGGGCCAGGTGGTGATATTCCATTTAAAAAAAGTCAAGTAGCCCTTCAATAAGCTTTAATGGTGTAGAGGAATAGACACTTTTCCACAACTGGTTCTCTGAGTTTGTTACAAGCATGTGCTCTGCAACAATTCAGTCAATGACAGTTCCATCTCTCTACAAAGCTGTGTTGAGTGGGCTTGCTTGAAGTACAATCTGTGATGGTTGGTGAACCAAGTGGTACAATACCACACAAAATAAGATGTCACCATTGGAAATGAACTAACTAGTGATAGGTGAAAGTTACCTTCTCCTAGTGTGTGGCATTATCTTTAATTGTTTATAAATTAAAATAAGTGTGCCTTGCTAAGTCTTTTTGAATGGTATAAATGTATCCATTTGTATAAGTGTCTCTTCAAGACCAAATCTTTGTAAATTATTTTAAGATTTGGTCAGATTTCAATCCTTGTCCAGAGACAAGACTGACTATGTGCCTTTACTAATTTTGATGCTTATTTCTAGTCATCTGGATATACATACACTTAAAGTTAAAGCCGTGAGTGTTTCTTGTGCTTCTTTTCATGCTCTAAAATGTGACCATTGGTTTATAAACTTTCAAATTAATTAAACAATGTGATTTTTGCATTTTTCTACCAGCTTTTCAATTTTTTCTTGTAGTGGTATGGTGCATTTTTTTTATTGTTGTGATCGGATTGAAATGTGCTCATAGTTTGTCTGACTTTGGTGTATATGAAAAGCTTAAGAGACTGGACCTGCCTTCAACCTTCAACTTTGTTTATTCATCATAACTTGTGTGATTGTTATGCTACAACATGTTACGCTTAACACCCAGTCTTCAATAACTACCCCACTTAGAGGTTCAGAAATGACGCCTCTCAACCCTTTCTTAAATTTGACAATACTTATGTTTGTTCTATAGGCTTTGTCATAATAATTACAAGAATAAAAATATGAGCTCATTTTCTCTCAACACGTGTCTGAATTTCCTCTACCTTAACCGAACGACTAGTGGGCTTGGACAGTTCAGGGGCTTCACGGGTGCGATGGGTGAGACGGGCGGTGGGGGTTCTCCCGGGGCCGTGGCTGAAGGGCGCTGCGGGGGGCGCTGCGGGGGGCGCTCCCAACCCCTCCCCGCTCTCGGCTACCTGTTGGATGGAGCCGTTACGGGCGCGCGGAGCGGCGCGCCGGGTTCGCAGGGGGTGTACGGTCGAGGGGGTGGCGCGGCGGGGCG